CCAGACATGTTTGCTGGGTAAACCAATTGCTCACCTATGTCAACAAGAGCCGACACATTTTTCATTACATCCAGGCCGAGAATACCTTCAGCACCAATGTATGAGAGCATAACCCAAACCGTATGTCTGATTTTCTCAACTCCTTAATATCACCTTCACCTCGTTCCAGTACTTGGTTTCTCTTATCTCCCAGCCATATATGCGAAGATACCTCTCGGCAGCTCCTGATAGTTTGGATATGAGTACATCTCCTGTCAGAATCATTCCACCCAAACCTATCGGCCACCCGCTGGAGCTGTTAGAGAAAATCCTCAGCATCCCCCGATTCCACTCCTTCTCCAGTCCAGTTTGGTATTTCCTTTGTTTACAGGCGTTCTCGGCGATAAGCAGCTCTCCCCTTCCTAAGCAGGGTCAGTTTTAACTCCTCATTTTCCAACTTCAGCCGCACGACTTTCGCTTTCTGGCGCTTGAAATCCAGTTGCCTCTTTAGCTCCTCCACTTTCTGTTTCAACTTCTCTTCCATCGTGAAAGGGAAAACTAAAACATCAGTAAATAATAAAAGAGAGCTATAACCCGCCTATTACCCCACACCTGACACCACAATGTAAGATAGGTGCTAGGAAAAATAATAAATAAATATAATTGAGCTTCTACGAGTATATTTTATTGTTCAACATGCATGGAACCATATCTCTAAGCTAAATTATATAAAAAGTTAATAAATATAGTCTAATAAAATATTATCTACAATATATATATATATATATATATATATATATATATATATATATATATACACACAATCTATTAATATTCACAATAAATAGAAACTCACTAATAAAAAAATCTATCAAACTAACAATTTACATATAAATGACAGCATGATCATGCTAGATATACGTCTTTATAATTATAATTAGTAGGATGCTTATACATAATTCAAAGTAATTTGTGCATTCCATTCAATTCCAGTAAATAATGCTCTCATAAGCGAAAAATTAAAGTGAGTACTCAGAATATTTTTTTGTGTGGTATAGAACTACTGTATTAATTACTAAAATTTATTAATATTTTAATAATACTATAATGAGTAATAAAAGTATAATGAATACGTAAAAATATCGTTAGGATCTGATAATTTTGAGGTATCGTTACTACGCTGTTCGCGGACAACCCCCTACCAATAACCCTAATCGCACAAATTACCCACCACAAAATGCTCCTGATCAAAATCCACTTCATAGCCAAACATCATCTGACATCAATTCTATCCTATCAACATTCCTGATAGACCTTCAACAGACTATCAAAATACTTATAACCCTTCTCACTAGATTCCTTTCCGAAATCCAATTCAATTTTCCTCGATGAACACAAAGATTCCTCGATGATCTCATTCCATACTTCCGTGAAAAACCTTGGTGTTACCTTTGATCAAACTCTCTCCTGGAAACCACACATCTCCCAAATTTTCCGTCGTACTATCTCTACTCTGAAACAGTTTAACCGTATCCGTTATCCTTCCATATAAATCCCGACAACTCCTGGTTTCCTCCCTTGTGTTCACCCACTTCGACTACGGCTGTCTGGTGTACGGCGGACTCTCGGGAGAATTCGAAGCCAAGCTTAAACGCCTGATGAACTGCGCAATACGTTTTGTTTTCGGAATCTCAAGAGATACGCATATAACCCGGTATTACACCAAGTTGAAGTGGCTCTATCCATCCAACCGCCGTCTGTACTTCCTTGCTACCTTTCTATACCAAGCCATCAGAACTCGGCGACCTTCCTATATTTTTCACAGCCTACAATTTAAATATTCCATTCAATCCCGTCCCACTAGATCCCGTACTTCTGACCTCTATCCACCTCCTCACCGAACTGCAGCGTTTGACAAATCCTTTATAATTCAAGCCGTCTCCACCTGGAATACCATCCCTCCCGATATCCGACATGCGCAATCAGTTTTCTCATTTAAATCTCTCCTTTTTAAGCACCTACTTCTTTCCCAACTGATTGATCATGAAAAGTAGATAAGAGAACTTTCTAAGTTCCCCCAGAAATGGTTTTGTTTAATTATGTTATTTTATTTTCACATGTTTGTATTGTATATATCTGTATGTATTTAGTGGTTTTGTTTTATTTTTCTTCCAATATTTTTATTTTAATGAGTATTGTAAATATTTAATTTAATTGTATGGCCACACAGGCATTTCCTCTGTATATATAATTTGTCCTAAAGGGACAAAAGTCCCAGGATAATAAAAATCTATTTTCATTTCATTTCATTTCAAAGCCCCTAGCTATCCTCTTATGGAACGCTTATGGACTGCAAAACCACCGTGACGAACTAGACATATTTCTTTATGACAATTACATTGACATTGCCCTCCTGACGAAAACTCATTTCACACAACGATCAAACTTTTACATATCTGACTAAATCACTTACAGATCAGACCATCCAGATAACACTTCCCACGCAGGGTCTTCCATCCTTATCCATAAATTCTTATCTCATTCCCTAGTTCCTTCTACCCCAACTGACGCCATTCAATCAACCTCGGTAATCCTATCAACTTGCCCTTTCCATCTTATATTATCAGCTGTATACTGTATATTACACAAACCTAAAAAAACACCCGAACACCCATCCTCTTGCTGTCCTATTTCTCTATTATCTATCATGCTCAAAATACTGGAAAAACTCATCCTAAAACGCCTGTACTCCATTCTAGACTTTAATCACATCATTCCTGATCAACAATTTGGATTCCGCACATCCAAATCCCCTTGTTTCCACCCTTGCTTGTTCCTCGATTCCTGATAATCCTCCTAGGCGACTAAAAAGGAGATGGCCTCGTGATCTTCTTACCTAGAACTATTTAGGGAGTGCTACCACTAGGTAGTATCTCTTCAAGGCTGTTCATGTCATTATTTATAACTAGTAGGCCCGTGCGAAAAATTCACACCGCATATTGTTTTCAAATGCCCAATTATTAAGACAAAAAATAATGCAACGTATTAAAAGATAAAAAAAACCAATTGTTACTTTACCGATGAATATAAACGACAAAGGAAACAAAAATTATTTTAAATCTTCATTAATGATTTTTTTCCCTTTTGTAGGGAATTTAGTAATCTTTCATATGATCATGGGCATAACCAAGGGAAAAGTGTGTAATTTTTTAGTTATTCGCAAATAAAGTGTGTTTTCTTTCATAACTTGTTTACCTGAATTTTCGAGTTGATTGGAATATTTTGCCCGCCTGATGGAGAAGGAAGCCTTCGAAATTGATGGCTCAATCTTGAGATTTGGTGAAGAATTAACGATGATATGGCTTGCCGATCAAAAACACCATCGATAAATAATATAAACTCCTCCTCTCTCGATCATAGAGGCCTCAAGTCGACGAAATGAGACATGTATTCAATGACAGTACTACAATTAACGTAAAGTTGTGTGGATGCGAACCCTATGGCTTGCGTTATCTCGAAAATAGTACGTTATGGGGCTTAAAAACGAAGGATCCGATAGTTCCGGAGGATAGTACTTGCTGTACATATCAAAATCTTCAAGGTCCAATTTGTCCCGTATCGATCTACAGACCTACCACTGTTCCTGTATTGAAGCCTAGCAAAATGTTTGTATCGACTTTATTTATTTTAGAAAAAAAAACAAAAGTGAGAATATGATTCGCTAACTCCCCGTGAAATTCTAAATCTAACGGTACCCTATTCATGCTATTTGAGCCTGATAGGAGCTTGTATTCAGTACAAAACCGATTTCGAGCCTTACTGTAGTAACATATGCTTGTGCATGATAATATAGGATTTGTGCATGTTTACGAGTTGTATTTGTATACAGTTGTAAATTTCATTAAATAAACAATATATATATATATATATATATATATATATATATATATATATATATATATATATATATATATAAGGGAGGAGATGGTCAGAGTCGCGGTCATAAATAGACTAAATAGTGGCAAAACTATTTTATTAAAAGCCAACGTTTCGACCCAACGTTGGAGGTCTTCTTCAGTGCTAGAACGGACAGGATGCAAGAAAGATATAGAGAATTGTGGAAGTTACAAAATATTTAGACAAAAAATTATAAACAATGTGAATAAGCTTATTTTTTTTCTTGTCTATAAAATATGTATTTGCGCCTGTCAACAATAAGTTAACAATCAGCAAATGTGATGGCGATAATGATATAATGACATGACAGGCATGGGAAAAAGCTTATTAAAATTATAAACAGTAAGTACATTAAAATATAGACAGAGTAAGCTAAGTAACAAGATCATAAACTGAAGTAAATAGATGGTAACAATTGTTGTAGTGTAGTATATGATATATGCAATTGTGAATATACTACTACAGATCTACAGGATAGATTGGAAGAAAAGGTAAAAGGATATAATATGAAATAATGGACATAAAGGTATGCAGAGAAAGAAATGAAAACAGAGAGAAGAATAAAAATAGAGACTTACAGGTCTGTTCAGTTAGGAGTTTCACTTAAGGGTAGGGAAATTTGGGGAAATTTGTTGACCTGTTTGGGTAATGGTGAGAGAGTAAGTAGTAAAAGTAAAAAAAAACCTGGAAAATTACACTATCTAAAATTTGAAGATATGGATGGATACAAGGGAAAAATACTATATCTATGAAACAATAAATTATAAATATATAAACATACATATAAAATAGAATTAAGAAATTATAGATAGGAGTACAATGTGAAAAAAAAAAAAAAGTGAAGGAAGTAAAACGTACATAGAAGTAAAATGTAAATATAGAAATAAGAGATACGTATTGAACTGTAGTTACCGGTACCATTGCTCTTTCCCTTTGGTCCTCAGACCTGCGCCCAGAAGAAATAAATGTAATAGAAATATTGTAATAAAAGTGGTGGTAAAAATAATTATGAAAAACCACTTCAAAGGACCTCTCTGGTACAAACGCCAGCTGTTCGTAACCTACCCCAACACAACACAGTTGCTACAACCTATTAGTTCTTGTGTTTGCCATTAGTTATCAGTTATTTCTGGTGAGTAGATGAATTTTTAAATATAAGTCTGAATTGATTTTTCATATGCAAAGTTAGAATTATCCGAATTCTGGTTTTCATAATCAAGCACAAGGGACTGGCAATTTTTTGTTTATGTTTATTATCTAAGTGTTGTTAAATATTTATTTTTTTACCTTTTACAAGAACAGTAAAAGATCTCAAATTATAAACCTCAAATTATAAAAATAAATTAATAAAAATATTAACAACTAAAAAAATTCTTACAAATAAACAGCAAAAATTCTTACATATTTTTTTTTTCATTTAAACGCCTAATTATAACTGTAATACCACTCTTATTAATTTTCTCAGAAATATTTGCCTAACAATAAATATATGTATTATTTTTACAAATTGAAGTATAAAATAAGAATTCAACAGAAGCTTTCGTATATAGCTGTATTATTGTACAGTAACCTATTTATTTTACTTAAAATTGTTGAATTAATATTTTGTATGCAGTCCTTTGTTTCCAGTACCATTTAAGGATTGATTGGAGCAACTTCGAAGTCAATTGTAATAAATTTGTTTCCCAATTATTAAAACAATTTAGTTTTAAGATTGCCGAGCTATGAGTCAACATAAGCCCATAAATGTTTGATGACATTCAAATCTGGACTCTGGGGAGGAGTTTCATATTCATTTGGATGATTATATAGCATCTATTCCCATGAGAAGAGAGCTTAGCGTAACTAACTAAGGATAGGTAACCTAATTGATTTAGATAACATTTAAATGTTTGTTCTATACCTATTTTTGCTGCCCTAGCTCTAATAGCATATAGAAATAACACCTGGAATAGATGAGAACAATTAGGATAACAAGCTGGACCACATACAATTTGGAGAATATTAAAGCAATATGGAATTAAAACCAAAAAAAAAAAGACTTCTTATAAATTTAATGAATAAGAAAAAACTTAACTGTTGTCCCATAAGTTATGAAAAAAAAAAAACCAACATGTTACTGGCGTGATGTCATTTATTTAGATGAGAACAAATTTAATATCAAGTATGGAGGAAAGTTGGAAAGAAATTAGAGCTAACCAATTTGTGAGCTACAGAGCTACAATGAACTCGGAGTGTTCTTGTAAGGGTATATAGGTCTTCTTTAGGGTCTGGAATTTGGTTTTTTTCTATAGAGTAATGAAATTTAAGGGGTGGTAAGGGCAAAAATGGGTACAGAGTGAACTTTTCAGTTTTGCTAGGATAGTAACCCCTTGCCCGAAGCTCTTCACACACAGAAATGCTCCTATATCCAAATGAACAAGAAACTGCTCTCCAGAGTTCAGATTTGAATGTTATCAAACATTTATGGGCTTATGTCGATTCACAGCTCGGAAATCTTAAAACTAAATTGTTTGAAGAATTGGGAAAAAATGCCTTTCCAATTGACTTCAAAGTTACTCTAATCAATCCCTAAATGGTACTGAAAAACGAAGAACTGCATTCAAAATATTAATTTAACAATTTTGAGTAAAATAAATAGGTTACTGTACAAAATACAGCTATGTACAAAAACGTTTGTTGCATCAGAATTCTTATTTTATACTTCAATTTATAAAAAAAATACGTGTATTTATTGTTTGGCAAATATTTCTGAGAAAATTAATAAGAGTGGTATAAAAGTTATAATAAGGTGTTCATATGAAAAAAGGGTATGAAGGAACAGATATGACTGTTAATTAAGATCAGGTCGAAAAGAAATTCTAGCTAGGGAAGAATAATAAAGCACTATAATAAACTGCCAGGTGGAATTATTTCGAGCTTTTAAAATATGGAGGGAAAATGTGGCAAAACTATTTACAAATATGTTTATTAGAATATTGGGTGGTAACTCAATACCAACAGAAATGAAGCTCGATTACATCAGCCCAATCTATGAAAAAGGGAACAGAAATTCAAAAACTACTGAGGAATCTGTGTTACTAACCCTATTGTCAAAATATTAGGGATATAAAAAACGAATTAGAGCATGGGTTAAAGGGTTCAGAAGACCACTGTGGATTTACAGTGGGAAGATCATGAACATATATTCACCCTGAGGCAATTGTTGGAGAAATATCAAGCTGTTTCCTGAGACATTGAACTAATATTTATAAACCGGAAGAAAGCGTATGACAGTGTCTTTCAAAGACTATTATGGCAAGCCTTCCAAAATAAAAACATTGATATAGGTCTGATAGATATAATAAAGGAAATACAAAGGAAACACCTGCCAGGTCAAAATTGGGCCATACCTTTCTGAGCCTTTCCCAACAAGCAAAGGATTGCTCCAGTGGTATTGTGCCTTCCTCCTCTGTTCAAGATTTATCTTGACATTTGTTTGAAAGCATGGAGAATAAAATGTGATCCCATGGGGATTCATTTGAAAGAAAAGGTGTTCCTATAAAACCTATCATTCACAGAGGACCAGGTCATTATTGCACAGGTCTCAGAAGACGCTGGATATATGTTAAGAAAATTAAATGAGGAATAACAGCAGTGGGGACTAGTTATTAATGCAGATAAACCAGAAGAACACATGACATTCAATAATGAGGATATATACATGAATCCAGGAAGGGTTCTATAAAAGATGGAGGCTAAAAGAACCATTCTGGAAGAGATTGAGAAAAAAACTCCTCAAGTGATATGGACATTTGAAAAGAATGCCTGAAGGAAGACTGCCCAAAGAAGTCTACTTATGGAAAACTAGCGAAAGAAGACGAGGAAGACCTGGGATAATGAAGTTGAGGAATCCATGATGGGTCATTGTCTATGGGAAGAATGAACCTTCAATAGGACATTATGGAAAGAAGCCATCCGAGCACTTTAGGTTAAGGAAACTCTCTATTAGCGGGAACTCGGGAACTCCTAATAATATATATATATATATATATATATATATATATATATATATATATATATATATATATATAACAAAAATATATAAGAAAGAATTTTTGCTGTTGATTGTTTTATCTCCTTTCAGACGATATGTTAAGGGCCACTTACTGAGGCAATAATTTTAAGTGCGTCAAATAGCGCACAACAGTAGCGCCATCTACTGCCGAAGAGGAACAACTATTGCCCGATCTGGTGACCTGGGACCAAATGGGTCAAAGTACAATGCATCTGTGCCAGTCTGAAAATTGTATACAAAATGGTCTCCATGACCAAGCATACTCAAGATATGTATAGCTCGCTAGCGGATCCAGGATTTTATTTTCGGGGGTGGACTTCAGCCCGAAAGCTTTTTTTTTCATATATATATATATATATATATATATATATATATATATATATATATATATATATATATATAACGATAACTATTCTAAAAAAATAAAGAAAGATACTAGCTACATATATGAAATGGTGTTTATGTGGTTTTTGAAGTTCTATTAAATGTAATTACACGAACAATACTTTAGATAATTTTTTACCATAAAACATGGTTACATTTTACCATTTTGGGAGGGCTTCAGCCCGAAAGCCCCCCTCGTAAATCCGCCTGTGGTCTAGCTAGTCCAATCCAAAGAAGTGGCTGGAAAGGGGCATCATGGATGTCAAAATTGCTAGCACATGACGCAACTTTCAGAGATGTCAGCAGGCCAGACCACCCTACTCGATCCAGATGTATTTGCGGAAGCCAGTCCCTCGATGGGAGGATTTAACATCATTCCATGAGCCATAATCTACATTTATCTTGTCAGCCAATTATTAACTAATAGTTACAAACACATTAATCACAATGTATATTTTGGTACCCCCATCAACAATAACTATTTTTTTCAGTAATAAAATAACTATAACTCATATATAGGGTGTCTTGTAAATAAAGGAAAATGTTTTGAGAGATGTTAGTAGAACTCAAAAGCAACAAAACAGTTCCTTTAGACGCAATACTTTTTGGCGCGTGGGCCAATTTGATACCTCCACTAATGCTCACGGGCCATGGGTTGTGATAAAAAAAAAATGTGTACTATAAATGACGATTTAGTTGTGATTAAGATATTTTCACGGGCCGCATTGGATCCAGCCCGCGGGCCGTTGTTTAGAGACCCATGAGGTGAACGATAGACGGATTCCAAACAGAAAACTAGAAACGTTAAGTTTCACGTGAAATTGATCGTGTAATTGCATTTAATAGGATTTCAAGAATCAGAATCACTTAAACACCATTTCGTATAAGCAGTTAGTTCCTTTCTTTTTTCCAAAGTAATTATCGTTATATTTAAAAAAAAAGAAAGGCTTTCGGGCTGAAGCCCTCCCCAAAAATGAAATCCTGGACCAGCAGGTGCTTGGGGCGAAGGTACCTGGAGGAGTTTTTTGTATGACCGTCCACCTTTGATCGCTGGCAGGGTATGCAACAGCGAGCCCACCTCGTGACATCGGTGTTCATGCTTGGCCAGAAAAAACGTTGAGTCACAAGTTGCCTCGAGGTTCGTATCCCGGCGTGGCTGAGCCCATTTAGGCGGTGAAAGATCTCTTCTCGCATGGACTCAAGGACGCACACTGTGGCCGATCGCCGATCTAAGAGGACAAAAACAATTTTCAAAATATGAGCAATGTAATATGTCATCCTTTTTATAAATAGTTGGTATCCTATCAAGTAAAATTTCGAAGTTCGTTTAAACGCTCACAGTAAAGTACGAAAGAGGGAGGTTTGAGCGAGCAGGCCTTCAATTCTACCAGATAGCAAATAGTTCCAGCATTACTGTATTTATAGTCTAAATCACAGGCGGTTCTACGCGGGGAGGGGAGGGCTTTCGGCCCGAAGCCCCCTCCAAAATGGTAAAATGTGACCCTGTTTTATGGTAAAAAACATTTAAAAAATTATGTCTTAAAGTATTATTGCTCGTTTAATTACATTTAATAGGACTTCAAGTATTACTTAAACACCATTTCATATAGGTAGTTAATATCTTTCTGTTTTTCCAAGGTAATTATCGTTATATAAAAAAGGAAGCTTCCGGGCTGAAGCCCCTCCCCAAA